ATCTCTCCAGCCCCTTGCCTAACCTTTTACCCCACCCATCCTGTAACACTGACCCAGTGTCACACCACTGTATTTATCTGTTTGTTTTGTCATAACAGAATACCTGGACTAGCAGTTTGAAATCAGTGGTAAAGTGCTAGTCTAGCATGCAGGAAGCCCTGGGTTTGATTCCTAGTACTCTGTCTCTCCACTCCACTCAAAAATAACAATATCTGAAGCTAGGTAATTAACAAAGGCAAGATGTCTATTTGGCTCTGCATCCTGGTGGCTAGAAAGTCTAAAAGGCATGCTGCCCCTGGCTACATTCTAACGTGAAAAAGCTGGTACATGTAGAGAGAAGCATCACATTGTCATTCTCTAGAATGACTGTCCACTTTGTTTTATTGTTTTTATTGTTTTTGGTTTTTTTGAGACAGAGTCCCCTGTAGCCCCAGCTGGCCTAGAACTCACTATGTAGACTAGGCTGGTCTTGATCTCATGGAGAGTGCTGAAATTAAAGGCAGGTGCTACATCAGGCTCCACCTTTTTTTAAAAAAAATTTTTTTTTTTTTTGGTCTTTTTGAGACAGGGTCTCCCTGTAGACCCAGCTGGCCTGGAACTCGCCATGTAGACCAGGCTGGCCTCAAACTCACAGAGATCCACCTGCCTCTGTCTCCCAAGCACTGGGATTAAAGGCATGCACCACCAAACCCAGTCTCCACCTTGTTTTTTGAGACAAGCTCTCTCACTGGCTTGAAGCTTGCCAGGTAGGCTAGCCAGTGAGTCCCAAGGACTCACCTGTCCCCCACCTCCCCCAGGGTTGGAATTATACGTGCATGCTGCCAAGCCTGAGTTCTATTGTTGTTACTGCTGCTGCTGTTGTAGTTTTGTGTGAGTTCTGGGAATGGACTCAGTTCTTCATGCTTATACTGCAAACATTTTACCAGTTGAGTTATCTTACCTGCCTTTGAACTTACTGCCTAGCCAAGGATGACCTTGAACTCCTGATCTTCCTACCTCTACCAGCTAAGTGCTGGGATTAAAGGTACATACTATCATATATCCAGTTCCTGTGGTGCTGGGGACTGAGCTCAGGGCTTCTTGCATGCTAGGCAAGCATACTCCAACCGAGCCACATCTCCAGCCCAATAACTCACTCTTGAAAGAGCCATCTGGCTCCTGTGAGACCTAACCTACTTTATAAAACTGTAGCTTTGGGGAAGGCGAGGCAGTAGGATCAGGTGTTTGAGATGCTATTTAAAAAATTTTAAATGCCAGTGAGATGATTCAGCAGGTAAAGGTGCTTGCCACCAAACTTGACAACCTGATTAAGATTCCTAGGAACTACATGGTTGAAGGAGAGAACTGACTCCTACAAGCTGTCTTCTGACTTCCAGAAGAGGGCCTTGGTGTGTGTGTGCACACACAAATACACACATGCACACATACCAATAAATACACATGTCCACAAACAAGTAAATGTAAAAATTTTAATGTCAAGGGGTAGGTAGAGATGGCTCAGCGGTTAACACTGACTGTTCTTGCAGAAGACCTGGGTTTGAATCCCAGCACCCACATGGCAGCTAACAACTGTCCGTAACTGCAGTCCCAGGGGATCCGACAGCCTCTTCTGACCTCCACGGGCATTGCACGACATGGGTGCACTTACCTACATGCAGGCAATACACGGATACACATAAAATAAAATAAATTTTTTTGCTCAGGAAATTGTTTGAGTATGTTAAAGCTTTAATGAAATGCTTCTTCTAAAAAATGAAAAAATATATATAAATAAATAAAATTTTTTAAAAAGTTAAAAAAAATTTTAATGACAGCTGCCACAGAGTTTCTGTTTGGAATAGTACTGACAACAGTTGTTCAAGTGTCAGAATACAATTAGGGCCACTACATTCTGCATTTAAAAATGGTTGAATTGAGTGTTTAGTCCTAATTGCAAAAGAAGCAACAAGCACACTTATTTAGGGTTTGTGTGAGGCCCTGGGTTTGAGCCCCCCCCCCCAAAAAAAAGATTAAAATGGTTGGGACTTGATGGCACATGCCTGTAATCACAACACCAGAGAGGCTGAGGGAGGAGATTTTGATTTCAAGGCCAGCTGGTATAACAAAGGAAGCTACTACAAAACAAAAACTGCCCATCTCTAAAGCAGGTGCTCTGAGGAAGTGCTCATGCAAATTCTTACTGAAGCCTAACTGAAGGACATCTCTTCTTGAAAATTCCCTTTAAAATGGGCTGGAGGGCTGAAAAGATGCCATGCAGTTAAGAGCACTTACTGCTCTTGTAGAGAACCTGAGTTCCAATCCCAATGTCTACCTGCATTAGGTGACTCAAAACAGCCTGTAACTTTGGTTCCAAGGAATTAGACACCCTCTTCTAGTCTCAGAGAGGTAGAGGCAGGTGGATCTCTGTGAGTTCCAGGCTCTGATGGTCTACATGGTGAGCCACTATCTCTAAGCAATCAAAAAATGGACTAAAAGTTGTTTGTTCTTGCAGTGCTAGAGATCAAATTGAAATCCTTTCTCATGCTAAGCAATCTCTCTACCAGTGAACTACATCCCTAACCCTGGTGGAGGCTTTTTGTTACAACTGAAAGGGAGTTCAGTTTCTTCCTCTCTCCAATCCTGCTTCCTTTACTTGCTCACTGGCAGTGTTCCCACAGATGTCTACATGCAAATCTCTACTTCAAAGGCTAGTTCACAGGGAACCCAACATGTGACCATTGGGTTCCAGGAGTGACCCAAGAAAATAGACTCTAAAATGAAATTTTTTTGTTGTGGTTTTGGTTTTTTGAGAGACTCAATGTGTAGCCACAGCTGGCTTGTAACTTGCATTGTAGACCAGGCTGGCCTCAAGTACACAGAGATCCACCTGCCTCTGTCTGCCAAGTGCTGGAATTAAAGAACAGCATGTACCACCACACCAGGCTTTGTTGTTGTTGTTGTTGTTGTTTTCTTCTTTTTGAGACAGTCAAGGCTGGCCCCAACTCACTATGTAGCCATGTAGCCAAGACTGTCCTTGAACTCCTGTTCCTCCTGCCTTCATCTACCAAGTGCTGGGATTACAGACAGACATGTACCACTACACCTGGCTTAAAATGAAATGTTTACATCTGTGTAAACATTTGCCATTTGGCTGGCAATGGTTAGTGAAGCACTAATAGCCTCTACTGAGCTCCTGGGAAAGACAAGAAAGGCTGGGAGTGAGTAATCACTAATTAAAACTTAAGTGGAAAAGCTTGAGGGCATCCTTTACAGTATATAAATAGAGTCTCATTTCCTGCCCCAGAGACCAGAAGAGGCTTCAGGTTAGGTCCAGGACTTATGTGTCACATAGCTTACATGGTGGGGAAACACAGCTGCAGCATATCAAAAAATTGTCCTGATTGTGAAGGACTGTGATCCTGGAAATGGACACAGACATCTTAGATTCCTGAATCCTCTGAGATTAGAGAAGCAGCCTAATCTTTTTTGTTAAGAAGTTTGTGTTCAGCTGGGTCTGTTACACACCTTGATCTGGTAGATCAAGGTCAGCCTGGTCTACATAGCTAGTTCCATGCCCTGTCTCTAAAAACAAACAGCAAATCTCCTGCTCTCTGTCTTTACCTGAAGATGCAGAAACCTCTGCCTTTTAAGACATGTGTCTCATTCAGAAACTTCCCTTACTTTCCCTCCTTGGCACTAGACCAACAACTAAGTTAAGTCATTCAGCACTTAGTCAAGAAAGTCCTGTTTCTGCTTGCTAAGAGGCAACTCAAAGAAAATGGAAGAAGCTGGGCATGGTGGCTCTGGCTCATGCCTTTAATCCCAGCACTTGGGAGGCAGCAGCAGGCAGATCTCAGTGAGTTCAAGGCCAGCCTGGTCTACATAGTGAGTTCCAGGCCAGCAGGGTCTACAGGAAGACCCTCTCTCAAAAAGACCAAATAAATAAATACAAAGACAAATACCTAGCCAGCAGGTACTATTTATACTATAGGTAGTCAACCAGGACATAAATGGCTGAGCAGTGGGACAAGAAGGGGTTAAACTCCAGCTAAGGGCTGGAGATGGCTCAGCAGTTAAGAACATGTACTTCTCTTGTAGAGGACCTGAGTCTGTTCCCAGCACTCACATCAGGCAGCTAACAGCTGCCTGTAACTCTAGCTCTAGGGAACCCAATGCCTTGGGTTCCGTAGAATATATGCAGTACACGCATGTACATACATGCAAAACACATACATAAAATAAAAATAAAAAATATATTCCTGGGCATGGTGGCACAAGCCTTTAATCCACTTGGGAGGCAGAGGCAGGTGGATCTCTGTGAGTTTGAGGCCAGCCTAGTCTACATAGGGAGTTCCAGGCCAGCCGGGACTACAAGGAGACCCTGTCTCAAAAAGACCGAAAAAAAAAAAAAAAAAAAAAAAAAAGTTGGGTCTGGAGAGATGGTTCATTGGCTAAGAATGCTGGCTGCTCTTTCAGAGGACCTAGGTTCAGTTCCCAGAAGCCACATGGCACCAACAACTGTCTGTAACTCCAGTTCCAGGGGATTTGACACCCTCTTCTGATTTCTGAGGACACTGCATAACATGGGTGCACCTATATATATGCAGGCAATACACTCATACACGTAAAATATATTTTTTAAAAAGGGTTGGAGAGATGGCTCGGTGGTTAAGAGTACTGGCTGCTCTTGGAGAGGATCTGAGTTCACTTTTCAGCACCCATATGGTGGCCAACAACTGTTCTTAACTCCAGTTCCAGGGGATCTGATGCCCTCTTCTGGCCTCCTCAGGCATTGCATGATATAAGTACACTTAACACATGCAGGCAAACACTCATATACATAAAATATAAATTACTTATAAGAAATACACAGCCAGACATGGTGATACACACCTGTAATCCCAGCATTTTGGAGGTGGAGGCAGGAGGATTGAATTCAAGGTCATCTTCATCTAAATAGTGAGTTGCTGGCCAGCCTGGGCTACATGAGACTATTTCAAAAACAAAAAAACAAAAACAAAAAACTTACCTGGCAAGGGAGATACCATGATCATGAAGGTGGTTTTCCCAGGGTGAGGTTTATCCACTGCACTCCGATGTGCTGACCCCTGCCATTTCCCCAAATGTGAGAAACTTGACCGTGTATTTGTGGTATTGTGGGACTGTGTTCATGCTCTCCCCTGAAAGTAAAAAATTTAAAAAAAAATTAAAGCAACAAAACAACAAAAAGGATAGGGGACCTTATTCAAGCTCTTTGCAGGAGTAAAACAAGCAAACACACCAAAAAGGAGATTTAAAAATCTGCATGTAGGACAGTGGAAGAAAACTGGACTCAACTAGACAAGTAGGGGCAGTCCACTGACAGTAACTACAGCTCATCATAGCATGTCATTCCTGTTCCTATTTTGGACCCTTGGGGACTTTTCAAGTATCTTTTAGGCAACTGCATTTGTGGTGAGCAAGAGGGTACAGATTTTTGGAGTTTTCAAACTCCAGAACTCCACATTAGGGGAAAGAGTGAGGAAAACTTGAGATAAAAACAAAACAAAATGGGCTGGTGGAAGGAGAAACCATCTCCACAAAGTCGTCCTCTGACTTCCATACATGTGCTATGGCACTCATGCTGTCCACTCACATATCTCTCTCTCACACACACAAAATAATAATAATAAATAATAATAGAACTTAAAAACAAAACAAAGGGGCTGGAGAGATGCTTGATTGTTAAGAAACTTCGTGTTTTTCCAGAGGACCTAAGTTCAGTTCCAGCACCCTCATCAGGTGGCTCACAACCACATGTAACCCTAGGTCTGGGGGATCTAATGCTCCTTGGGCACCTACCCTCACATGTGCAAATACACATACATAATTTAAAAATAAATTTTAAGGGGACTGGAGAGATGGCTCAGTGGTTAAGAGCACTGGCTGCTCTTACAGAGGACTGGGGTTGGATTCCCAGCACTCACATGGCAGCTAACAACTGCCCATAACTCCAGTTCCAGGGGAATCCAACACCCTCTTCTGATTCCACAAGCACTGCATGACATGGGTGTACTTACAAATATGCAGGCAGTATAATCATACACGCAAATAAAAATAAAATATTAAAAATAAAATAAATCTTAAAAAAAACACAAAACCACCCTCCAGTCTGAGTGACTTGCTGATTTCTGAGTGTCTTGTAAGTGTCTATGCTTTCTTTCAATAAACCCTTATGCTGGGCCTGGTGGCACACAACTTTAATCCTAGCCCTTGGGAGGCAGAGGCAGGTGGATCTCTGTGAATTCAAGGCCTGCCTGGTCTACAGAGCAAGTTCCAGGCCAGCTAGGGCTACAGGGTGACTCTGTCTCAAAAAGACCAAAAACAAGGGGACTAGAGATGGCTCAAGCGGTTAAGAGCACTGCTCTTACAGAAGACTCAGGTTCAGTTCCCAGCACCCATATGGCATCTACGAACTGTCCTTAACTCCAGTTCCAGGGGAATCCGAAGCCTTCTGACTTCCATGGCATTGCACGACATGGGTGCACTCACATACATGCAGGCAATACACTCATACACATAAAAAAAAGACCAAAAACAAAAATAAAAACAAATCAATAATCTCTCATTTCTGCTACTATTCCTATGTCCCTTAAATTCTTTCCCGTGATAGCACAGTAACAGAAGAGAAACCTTTTCCCAGTATCAGGAAGAGGAGGAGAAAATAACTAAATTCTCAAGGTCTAGTGGCAGAGGACAGCCATGGCTAACATTGGCTAGAGCCTATCAATCTGGAACACCTATCTCATGGACTATCATAACAAGATCTGGAGAAATGGTGCCAGCACTGTAATAATGTTGCTCTTAGAACCTTGAGCTAGGGGTGTAGCTCAGTAGTACAATGCTTGCATAGAAACTTGGGAGACAGCAATGGCATGGATTAAGTGGAGTCAAGGTTGCAGTACTATGAAAGATGGTGGAAGGAGAAATCAAATGGCTCAGAGAAGTGGGCATGTTGTAGTAAATATCCTGTAGTAAAGCCACAAAACTTATCAGGTGACTCTCATAGGAAGGCTCGAGGACATTTGCCCATAACAAGGAATGTATGTGACCACAGCAATCACTAGACAAGGGCTGAAACTGGGTGAAGTGAATAAAGTTGTTGCCTTGGGTGCAGAATTCAAGCAAATGCCAAAAGGTCCAGTAACCAAAATAAACTATTGTAATGTGATTTAAAATAAAGCTTTTGAGTGGTTTTTTTCCCCAGCTTACTAACCCACTTCTAACTTTCAGGACTACCTTTTTCTTTCTTAATAAACTGCCTCTATTTCTGTAAATGGTGGTGATGATGATGATGGTGGTGACAATAATGATGATAGGGGCTGAGAGATGGCTCAGTGGTTAAGAGTGATTGGTGCATAGTATGAAGACTGGAGTTTGGATCCCAGTGCTCACGCAAAAAGCTGGGCATCCAGAGTGGAGAAAGAATTGTAAGAGTTTACTGGCTTCCAGCCTAACTGAGAAAACATGAGCCCCAGGTTCAGTAAAAGACCCTGACTCAAAGGAACTGGTAGAGAGTGACAGAAGACACTTGATGCCCTCTTTTGGCCTCTGCGTGAATACCCATTCACACAAATACATGTGCTGACACACACACACACATACACACACACACACACACACACACACACACACACTAAAGCAAATGTAATTTTAAAAATGATGCAAAATTACATAAGATTAATGCAGAAAAATTCACATGAACAAGATTGTTCTAGTTTCTTTCTCCATTGCTGTGACAAAACACTCTGACCAATACCAACTTGGGGAGGAAAGGCTTTATTCAGCTTACATCTCTTGGGTCACAGTTCATTAGGGAGCCCAAGGTAGGAACTCAGGACAGGAACCTAGAAGGAGCTGGAGCACAGGCCATGGAGGATCACTGCTTACTGACTTGCCCTCCGGCCCCTGCTCAGCCTGCTTTCTTATGCAACATAGGCCCACCTGCCCAGGGGTGGTACTGCCCACAGTGGGCTGGGCCCTCCCACATCACTCAACAATCAAGGAGATATTCCACAGACATGGCCACAGGCCAATCCAATGGAGGCAATTCCCCAATTGAGGCTCCTTCAATGCAGGTGTGTCAAGTTGACACTAAAGCTATCCAGCACAAGGATATAAATTTTAAAAATAAGCCATGTATGGTGGTGCATGCCTTTAATCCCAGCACTTGGGAAGCAGAGGCAGGAGAATCTCTGTGAGATTGAAGCCAGCCTGGTCTATATACCCAGTTCCAGGCCAGTTGGGGCTACAGGAAGACCTTGTCTCAAAAAACCAAAAAAAAAAAAAAAAAAAGTCAGAATCAATATTAATGATTTTTTTTAGCCTCAGATTCCTCTGATACAGATCAGCATAACACTCTTAGTGATGAGAGCTGCTTTTTTACAGATCATAGATGAAAGGAGCAGGTGTACTTACAGAGTTGAGCTTTCTGGTGAGAGCTACTAGATATGGTGTGGATCTTAAATGTCCCCCAAAAGCCCATGACTTACAAGTTTGGTCCCCAACCCATGGTAATATCAAACGTGATTTTAGTATTTATTTATTTATTCAATTTTCCTTGAAACCAATTATGGACTTTGAGCACATCAACAAAAACCGTCATAGCAGGGGCTGGAGAAATGGCTCAGCGGTTAAGAACACTGGCTGTTCTTGCAGAAGATCTGGGTTTGAATTCCAGCACCCACGTGGCAGCTAACAACTGTTCATAATCCAGTTCCAGGGGATCTGACAGCCTCTTCTGTCCTCGGTGGACATTGCACGACATGGGTGCACTTACCTACATGCAGGGAATACATGCATATACATAAAATAAAAATATTTTAAAAAACTTCATAGCAACACCCAGATTAGCATTTATTTGAATAACTGAGGATACAACCTAGTTGATGTATCAGAAGACTGTCATAGCAGTCCAAGCATTAATGCTTCTTAGGCCACAGCCATCTTAGTTGAGATATCTATTCAGACCTATATGTGCTCTGAATCTATATATTTCACTGTTGTGAATCAATCATCTCAGCTGACTTTTCTCTGTTCCCTCCCTCCCTCCTTTCCTTCCTTCCCTTCCTTTCCCTTTCCACACTCTTCCAACTCAGCTACATCTCCAAGCTGAGGCTGCTTAAAAATACAACAGATTTTGAACTTCTGAGTTAAGTGAGTGTATGATGACAGACCACTGTTCAGGAGAACACAAGTGCAGAGTCCCACCACATAGACTGGCCTTTAGGGTTGTATCTACAAGAGTAATTTGTGTAACCTACAGTTAGCATTTAACATTCCATAAAGTTATTGTATTTTGCTTTTTGTCTAGAAATTTAGGTATGCTTACTACTTTATACTATGTTTGTAAAAAAATCTTTTAGTACATTGATTTATGTGTGTGTGTTTGTGTGCATTCATGCCACAGTACCTGTGTGGAGGTCAGAGGACAACTTGTAGGAATCAGTTTCAGGTCTTTCCTTCCATCATGTGGGTCCCAGGGATTAGAAACTCAGGCCATCAGCCTCAGCAGCAAGCACATTTACCTACTAAGCCACCTCCCTGGTATTATATTTTTTTGAAACTAGGAAGTCAGCTTCCAACAGCCTTTGATAAGAAAAGGAAGGTTGGGGTGGAGGAGAGGCTCAACTGGTAAAGGCACTTGCTGCCAAGCCTGACAACCTGAGTCTGTCCCCAGGACCTACATGGTAGAAAGGGAGAACAGAGGACAGCAAGTTGTCCTGACTTCCACAGGCCTATGCACCCCACCCCCAACTAAATAAGGTACTGATTTTTAAATTCCAGACTTAAGAGTTAGGGATACAAAGCAGTGCATGGAGGTGTATGCCTATAATCGCTTTTTTTTTTGGGGGGTGGGGGGTGGGGTGGGGTGGTGGTGGTGTTAGAGATGGAAGGCTCAGGAATTCAAGATCATCTGCTACACAGGGAGTTTGAATTCAGTCAGGGCTACAGAAGACGCTGTCTACCCCCCAACACCCTCAATCCCTTACCCCCAAAGAGTTGGGATACAACTCAATTGATAGTGCTTGCTTGGCATGTCCATAGGTTCAACCCTTAGTTGTGGAAAAAAAAAAAGTTATGGTTTGGGAATAACATTTAGAATTTATGAGGTATTACATACACCAAAGTGAATCCCTTTTTAATTAAAATATTTTAAATTATGTGTGTGGGAGTGTGTATATGCACATGAATGCAGGTGCCCTTGGAGGCCAGAAGAGGGCACAGGATCCCCTAGAGCTGAAGTTAACAGGCCGTTTTGAGTCATCTGATCTGGGTGCTGGGAACTGAACTTGGTCCCCCTGCAAGGACAGCACATTTCCTTCCACAGAGCCTTTTCTCCAGCCCCCAAGTGAATTCTGACGTCAATGTTTTGCTAAGACCTCATTAAACTAAAAGGGTGCGTTTATCCCAGGGCTACTAATTATGACCTTGAATAATTTATATAACCCTCCGCTCTAGTTTTTCCTTGTTTTGTTTGTTTTGGTTTTTGAGACAGGCCTCCTGTAACTGGTTACACAGCAGAGGCTGACCTTGAACCCCTGATCCTCTTGCCCCACCTCCCAAGTGCTCGGTTACTGGGGTGCATCCCCACGCCTGGTTCTGGCGTTAGTTAACTGCTTCTGTAGAATCCACTTCTTCAGAGAGAACCATTCGCTAACGAACTTACCATCAGTTGCTTTCTTCCCTTCCTACGGAAGCCGCCCCTAGGCCAGCCCTGGCCCCTCCCACGCCCATCATGCACTTCGCGGTTCCTTCGAGGTGGCAGCTGGGTCACGTGCTGTGGAGCCGCGTGCGCGTTCTCGTGTGCGCATGCTCAGAGCGTAGCCCCGCTATTTTTCTGGGTGGCGGCGGCCGCGAGCGGAAGTCCTTGGGAGCTCCAGTTCCGTCTGTGTGTTCGAGTGGACAAAATGGCGAAGATCGCCAAGACTCACGAAGGTAAGCGGCCTTTGGGGTTCTACGCGCCTCCTTGGCTGCCGGCCGGCTACGGCCTCCCCTCCTGGCTTTCGGCGTCTTCGCGCGGCTCCTCTGGTCCGGCCGAGTCCGCGCGGGGCCGGCTCCTCTCCTCGGCTCCTCGGCGTAGGCCGCTGCCCGCGTAATGGCGTCCTGCTCGCACTTTCGGTCGGGCGCTTTGTTTCGCGCTGGATGTGCTGCTTCAGAGTGGATCCTCGGGCTCCGAGGGACTCGCTTGAGTAGCGTGCGACGGAGGACTCCCGGGCAAGGGAGCGGGGAGGCGGGCGTGGGAGGGAGGTCTGTCTGCCCCGTTCCCCCTCCCCGGGAGCTGTCGTTGGCATAGTTTGCACCCGGGAGTCCGAAAAGCCCAGAAATAAGGTAGCGGCATTCGGGCTGTGCTAAATGGAGTTGGCTTCCTTTAAGGCCCGTTACTCCTTAACCTTGGCGCTACTGGCGTCTCCAGGCGGCCAGGTTACGTGGTGGTGGTGGTGATGGTTCTTGCAGGATATGATTTGGGTAGTTGACGCCTTTAATTACTTCTAGTGTTTATCTTTTTCTTTGGGAGTTGATTATTGGAGGACCAGGCAGAAGAGAGAAAAGGAGATTCTTGTCAGTGATATGATTTCAGGATAGATGATCATTTTTATGGTGTACAGAGTAAACACAGGTAGGAACCGCATGGAAATTGCAGTCCGTAAGAAAGTAACCAGAGAAGACGGGAGATGGGAGGTGTGAAGTTGGAACCACATTTCTTGGTTTCTGACTTAGAATCCAAAATTTACACTGACAACGAGGCTTCCGAGAGAGTGATTTATCGCGACCTCTCTAGGTATGTGGCTTGGTATTATGAGAGAGGTAGCAAATTAAGGCTATCAGAAACTTTATAGTTTGATAGGCGAACAGATGTGTGTGAATCCTAATTCTCTTAGGGGATCAAAGAATTGGTTATACAGATTAAAGGCAACAGGTTCTGGGAAGCTTGGTAACGGAGTGCTTATTTTGAGATGTGACGCGTGCGTTGATCTAAAAGGATCAATCAGTTTTAAATTAGGGGAAGACGTCTGAGCCTGAGGGAACATCTTGTATCAAGGCAGTGAGTCGCGAAAGTAGTGCAGGAAGAGGGGGTGCAAGGAGGGAATTTGTAGATGAATTTAGAGAGGTTGGTTTAGGGCCATTGGAGGAACTGAAAGTACAGCACTTTTTTAAAGCGAGAAATGTTTTTGGCTTTATTTTTTGTTTTCACACTGTCACGTATCTTTTGCAAGATAATTAGAAAAAAATTTTTTGGGGGTCTTTTTTGAGACAGTGTCTCCCCACAGCCCCAGATGGCCCGGAACACACTGTGTAGGCCAGACTGGCCTTAACTCACAGAGATCTGCCTGTCTCTGCCTTCCAAGTGCTGGGATTAAAGGTGTGCACCACCACACCCAGTGGAAAAAAATTTTTTTTGAGACAGGGTCCTGTACTACCTTGCCCCACCCTTTCTCAGGCTAATAATTCCCATTGTTGAACCAAACTGAAGATTTTTCTTGCTATCCTTTCCAAACATTTCTCTTTCTGTTTGAGACAGTGCCTCATGTTGTCCGGGTTGACTTTGGACTTTTGATTCTCCCTAATGGTGGGATTATATACCTGAGCCATACGCCTGGTTTTTATGGTACTGGAGATTAAGCCCAAGAATCCACGTATGCTAGGCACCTGAGCTGTATTCCCTGCCTGCTTTTTAAGCATTTCTATTAGAATCAGCCCTCACAGAGCCTTTAACCAGTCTGATTTTTTTAAATTTTTCAAATTTTATTTATTATTTTTTATGTGTATGAATGTATTGCCTGCCTGTGTGTAAGTGCACCCGTGTCATGAAATGCCCAAGGAGGCCAGGGAGAGTGTTGGATCCCCTGGAACTGGAGTTACAGAGTGTTGGATCCCCTGGAACTGGAGTTACAGATGGTTGTTAGCTGCCCTGTGGGTGCTGGGAATTGAACCTGGGTCCTCTTCAAGAACAGTCCAAGTGAGCCATCTCTCCAGCTCCCAATCTGATTTGAGTTTGTTTGTTTCTTTTTTTTTTTTTTTTTTTTTTTTTTTTTTTTAATGTGTGTGTTGTGTGTGTGTTTGGGTGCCAAAAGAGGGTGTTGGGGGTGGAGTTTTAAGTCACCCAATATGGGTGCTGGGAGCCAAACATGTATTCTATGCAAGAGCAGCATGCATGTTCAATCACTGTGCCATCTCCAGCTCCTGCCACTAATTTCTTGAATTGGAAAAGTGAAGGTATCATAAAACCGAAAAAGGTTGCTCGGTAATTTTTTGCTCGAGAAATGTCTGGAATAGGTGTACTTTTGATTTGGCAGAATTTTCGTTGCTAGTGAAAAATAAAAAAAAGGTAAACTTGCTTAATCTTTAATTTTTTCTGTAGAATTAATTATTTTGGAATTGAATTAGTGTAGTGTCTTCTATAGGCTTTAGTAAAAAATTTACACTATCGATTTATTGGGACCTTGTTTAAAGAAAGTCGTGGATATACTTCCTCTTTTTCTGGGATGTCCTTTAAAAGTCTCATATTTGAGAAATACTCGCCTTACTAATTGCTTTTGGCTGGAAGAAATAGCTGTCACCTACAGTCCAGACCAAGGCACTAGCAGTAGTATGTAAAACATTGAAGAGAGTGCAAATTAAAAAGGACTGAAGAAGCATCAAGGGAGAAATGCTGTAGACTGGAGTCAGGGTATCTCAAGCATAGAAAGGAAACCAGGCACAGGAGTGCAGCAGTGAAGGCGCTTCAGCAGCTGACAGTTTGTGATATTCTGTTTAAGACTTTGGTCTCTTGGCCTTACTTTAAAGTAGAAAATAAACAGGTTAGATGCTTTCCATGTTTTATTGGTTTTTCTGGTGCTAGAGATTGAACCCAGGCCTTAATGGATGACAGTCAAGCCTGAGACACACCCCCAGCCCAGGAAATATATTTTCTTTTTCTTTTTTTTTTTTTTTGAGGCAGGGTGGCCTGGACTCCCTATGTAGACCAGGCTGCAGGCTGGCCTTGATCTAGCAGAGATCCACCTGTCTCTGCCTCCCGAACACTGGGGTTAAAGTGTGTGCAACTATACCCAGTGAAATCTTATTTTCTCAATAGCACCCCAAATTATTAATTCGTTATCACTGTTAATTAATAAGAATCTTTTGTACTCTTCTAGCGAAGGGTGTATTTTCCGATAGTTGAAAGTATGTCAGGAATCAGAATTCCTTTCCAGAACAAAAAAAATTGTTGGCATTTCAGTTGAATGACATTTTCTTGTACATCATTGGAGCAGATCTAATGATTAAAAAAATTTTTTTTTATGTTTAGAAGATTTTTCATTACCACCAACTAGCAACCAATCAACTGGGAAAAGGAAAAAAAAAGTTTTAAGAATTGAAAGCTAGCTGTGGTTGCACATACCTCTAATCCCATCACTCAGCAAGCAGAGACAGGAGTGGGCTACATTGTAAGACCTTGTCTCAAGAAATGAAAAACAAACAAACAAACAAACCATGAGACTCAGAACATTTAAGGTTTAAATACTAAGTAAAAGAGCTAAACAAACAGACCAGTTCTGTTTAACTGAATACTGCCTTGCAGAGAAGAGAGACTTTTTTCCAACTTTTTAAAATTGCTTGGTACCGAGGTTTTGGTTTCGGAGTGCAAATAGTCACTTGGCTTAAACAGAAATCCAGGGCCAATTTTATTTTGTGTGTGGGGCTGAGTGGTAAAATGGTGCACGAATGGAGTTCAGAAAACAGCTTACAGAAGTTGTTTCTCCTTCCATGTGGGTTCTGTGGATCAAGCTCAGGTTGTGAGGTTTGGTGGCAAGTGCCTTTACCCACTGAGCCATCTTACCAGTCCGAAATATTTATTTACACAGAAGGTGAGGAAGCACATCAGTCCTTAATAGTCTTTTTCAAATATTTTATTTATTTATTTATTTATTTATTTATTTATTTATTTTGAGACAGGGTCTCCCTGTAGCCCCAGCTGGCCTGGAACTCATTATGTAGATCAGGCTGGCCTTGAACTCACCCAGATCTGCCTGCTTCTGCCTCCTGAGTCCTGGGATTAAAGGTGTGGGTTGCCACACCAACTGCCAGTACTTTTATTTTTTAAATATTTTATGTGTATGAGTGTATTGCCTGCGTGTATGTAAGTGCACCAGTGTCATGCCAGTGCCCTAGGAGTTCAGAAGGGGGCGTCACATCCCCTGGAACTAGAGTTACAGACGGTTGTTAGGTGCCATGTGGCCGCTGAACCATCTCTCCAACCCCCAATACTTTGATTTAAAAATTTTTTTCATTTTATTTATTTTTATATTACGTGTATGAGTGTTTTGCCTGCATATGCTGGGATTAAAGGTGTGTGCCCACCACACCTGGCTAAAGTACTTCTTGAGTAAATATATTATCCAAATAAGGGACTAATTGCTGAAAATTTGGAAAAGTTCTGAAGAAGGAAAATGAACTGCCTGTATTAAGTGAAGGAAAAGATATTTTGGTTGCACAGTGAAGTGTATAATACGCATTTTTGGTAAAAAGTTCTCCTTTCTGTTTTTTTTGTTTGCCTTTTGAGACAGTACCTCACTGTATAGACCAGGGTGGCCTAGTACTCACAGATCTCCCTGCCTCTGCCTTTGAGTGCTGGGGTTAAAGGTTTGCATCACCTCACCACTAGAAGGTATTTTGTAGTGCTTGGGATTGAGCCCTTGGTCTTGCTTATGGTTTTTGTTTTGTTGTTGTTATTGGTTATTTCAAAAAACTTTTGTGACTGGGTTTCCTTGTAACTTAAGCTGGCCTGGAACTCGCTATGTAGA